TGGCCACTTACTTCCAACCTGTTTTGCAACTTTCTTATCCAATTTCAACCAGCACTAAAATACACCAAAAAAAAAAGAAATTAAAGAAAGTTTTTTAGACTAAGCAAGCAAACAGACAGAAAAGTGAACCGGACGAATTTTGTCATATTGGAAGGAGAACGAAAAAATGAAGCAATGTTTGAAGAAGAAGAAGAATGATTCATTCTTCCTATAGATTTCAAGGTATTGTTCCCTAAGTTAAAACGAAATTCACATTTTTCAACTACAACTGCTATGATCCAAGATAGAATGGATGACTAACCATGGAAATGGACAGAGTTTACTACTGCTTGCGGATTGTCAGAAGCAAGATGATAGATGACGTCCTTGGTCTGAACGGATCGTGCATGTGGACGAAGCAACAACTGAGGAATACCTGGGATTGCAAAGGCCACCCAAACAGCGAAAATTAAGAACTAATTAGTCTTTAAAAAGGTAACTCACTTCATCCTACTACTATTTTAACGAAATAGTCTATGGTGGTAAAGACCCAGTGTGGACACTGTTGCCTTCAAAATACGAAGCGTTGGAGATGGAAAAAAGGCAAGTTTATGACTTTTAGAAGAAACTGACACCAATTTGGCCCGTGTTATCAGTGATAATGTGACCGGGTTATTTTTCTCATAAATCAAATAAAATCCAGCGATTGCGTTGCATGAATATAAACACTAAGGAATCAGACACAATCTAGCAACATTTTTAAGTAATCGATATCAATTCAAATATAGCGCCTATCCATACGCCAAAACCGCACACAAGTCAAAATTCACTGTTCATGACTGTTGAATGACTTGTTACGTACACCAATTTCAGTTCAAGGACTCTTATGTGTGAAACAACACAGTTAATTGCAACTAACTCATATAGGGGATTCGAGAAATGGCAAACCTCGAAGTGAAAACTAATACCATGATAATAGTTGGGGCAGTATAAAAAAACAGGATAAAAAAATGAGGAGGGAGAAAAAAAATGACAAAAATAGTACAACGGCAAATACATAACTGAAAGAAACAAACAGCAATCAAAGCTCAGTCACGTGAGGTGTCATGTAGATCCATCCCAAACTCTAGCCGAACCAATTTGTTTATTCGATTCTACATAATTAAATGGGAGATAAGCACTCAAATTCCTACGTTCTGTCGATTTGAAAGGCAGTAAATGACGGCGGCTCTTAACCTGAAACTACTTCATAACTTAATCCAATTTTTTCAGATTAAAAGTCATTCTCATAAAGGGGACGTCTGTTTAGAAAGTGAATTAAAATGAGAACTACAACAAGTCATGCTGTCCGGAAAATGCCAAAATAAACACAGCGGCACGTAGCTAATCAGTGGGTTGCCCGACTAACTGTAGTTGAGGTCAACTGCAACATGACTCATAAGATGAAGTCAAGACAACTTCGACGTACCATAGTATTATCAGGAGCAAGGTACTTAATTCCAAAGTAATCAGTTTCAAGTAGATCCAAGTTGGAACAGACAGCATCGAAGAGTTGCTGACCGTATGCGGCTTTCTAAAAATAGAAAAGATAATCAGATTTGGCCAAAAGTATAAATGATCAGTATCGCGAATGTAAAGTATAAATTGTCGACACTGTATTGACCAATTTCAAGACTTGTGAAACGAAAATTATCTTGTTAAAAAGAAAATACGTTACTTCCTATCATGACATATACCATTATTGGTAAATATCACATTCATAAAGGGGGGGGGGAGATAGAATAAAAATAAAATTATAGTACTAAATCATTTTTGGGAAATACATAAATTAACATATTTCATTGAAATTGAAAGAAGTGAGAGACGTACATCAATGCTGAACATCTGTTGGAGTCCATCCAACATAATAACTGCACAATCAACCGACTTTCCCGATGGTTTAAAATTAGACGCGGAAGTATTTGATCTTCCGAGAGTAGCAGTACGAGCTATAGTAGCAGAGGGATAAGGGGAACCAACTGCAGTCACAGGACCAGATGCACCACCACCAGCACCAAGCAAAGAACCTCCCGAAATAGATCCTTGTCGGGGTCCCATTGTGCCAAAACGACGAAGAGTTGTGTAGTATTCCCTCTTGGGGACAGAATCTGGAACTTCTATAGTTCCGCCGTTATATAGAGGCATTGGACTATTTCCACCATTGCCACTTCTCATTGCGTTTGCCTCCAGATTGGCTAAATTTATCGAACCAGTTGTTGTATCACCTCCTAGAGATCTACGACCTGGGGAACTCAAAATTGAACTGCCTGTGTAGTTAAAATTATTGTCCTCCTATAAGTAAAGATACACTGTTACTTTGAAATTCAATAAAGAGTCTCTCAAGCAGAATAAGTAAACGGGAGGAGAAAAAAAGCAACTCAATTCTATCAGCAGAAGAAATAATAAAATATAAACGAAACTAGGTAATTTACCGGAAGGAATGAATACACTATTTTCTATAATATGGGGAAAATTAAAAACATGTTAAAAATGTGGCTAAAATAGCTAATAAAACAAATAAACTGCAAAGTATAAGAGGAAGATACAGAAATCATGCGCCCCAAACTGAGATGCATGCAAGGTATGTTAAATCAGTTAAATGATGTTAGACGTGCGTTAATACGTAACAATAATTAGAATAAGGTGCTAAAACGCATACTCACTTCGAATTCCTTATTAGATCTTAAAAAAGGAAGCAGAGAAGGCTTATTTATGTGGTTCATAAAAATAAAGATGAAAAGCTACTATAAAATTTGAAAAAGCAAACGTTTAATAAACAAAAGATCCGATTTCAGAAAATGATTTAAGTTTTTCCACCTCGTTTGAAAAGAAAGAGAAGAATAGTATTCAGTATAAAATGGAATGCTAGCATAATAAATAAGATCTGTCCAGCAAGAATCATGTCACAAAATAGCAGTTCAACTTTACGAGTTTTCGTCAAGTGCAGCACATTTTTAAGAAATTAAATGCAAACATTAGAGAAATCAAACTAACTGGAAGAAGAGCCATTGTTAGAAATGGATGTAAACACAAATTCTCATGAAATTTATGTAAGACGAAAAACACGAAGTACGAGACCGAAATCTACACTTCAATGATTGGGCGCTGAGACGGGATGACAATGAATAAAGGTCATATTCAATGCAAACAAACAAAGTTGACTAAATCAAGATTTATTTTAAATTCTGCGTTCAAATAGCATATATTAACATATTTTTACCAGAATATAAAATTTTTCGGGAGTTTTATGGATGTTTTAAATTTATATGTTCTTATTTTGCGTTAAATTGTAATTTCATTTATTATATAACCTGGCTTCAAATCAGGTATGCCCATTTGTAATGAGTTGTTAATATTTTTTGATTTACCTTAAGATTCTTGAGACATTGAAATGAAAATTCTATCCGATATCGCTTAAATTTCAAGTTTATTTAATTAACATTAAGTATATATATATATATATATATATATATATATATATATATATATATATA